CGCCCAGCCCGCAGCTCTACAGATGTCTGTTAGAGAGGCGCCGCGTGCACGCGCCCAAGAGGATGCAACGCTCCGAGTGGAGTGTGCACGTACTCCTGGGGGACACGGCTGACCTCGACTCGAATAAGCGAGTGAAATGGCATCCACAATCCAGTGGGATAATCTTTGTTTCGATATGGCACTTCCCTGCTGCCGACCGCCATAACAGACAAAGAGCTGCTCAGATGATCTAAATTCTGAGTACGGTCCACATAAATGCGCAGAGCGCGAACTGGACAAAGTAAAGAAAGGGCTGGGTCTGCCTCCTCCGGGGGCAGCGCTTGCAGGTTCACTACCTGATCTCTAAAGGGGGTGGTAGGAACCTTGGGCACATAACCGGGGCGGGGTCTCAGGATGACGTGAGAGTAATCCGGCCCGAATTCCAGGCACGAGTCACTGACCGAAAATGCCTCCAGGTCCCCGACCCTCTTGATGGAGGCCAACGCAACCAGCAGAGCTGTCTTCAGGGACAGAAATCTTAGAGATACTGATTCGAGTGGCTCAAAGGGATCGGATCGCAGACTCGTGAGAACGAGGGCGAGAGCCCAAGAGGGCATGAGAGGGGGGCGAGATAGATTAATTCGCCTAGCACCCCTAAGGAACTGGATGACCAGGTTATGCTTTCCCACGGTGCCGCCAGCTACCGCGCTATGATAAGCGGAGATGGCGGCCACGTAAACCTTGAGAGTGGAGGGCGACAGCCTGCTGTCCAACTTCTCTTGAAGGAAAGAGAGCACAACACTAATCTGGCAATTTCGGGGGTCTTCTCTGCGAGAGACGCACCATTCAGTGAATAGACTCCACTTCAGGGCGTAGGCGCGCCTCGTGGAGGGGGCTCTAGCCTGAGTGATGGTATTAACCACCGCAGTTGGTAGGTTACCTAAGTCTTCCTCGCGTCTAGGGACCACACGTGGAGGTTCCAAAGATCGGGGCGAGGGTGCCAGATGGTGCCCTGTCCCTGAGAGAGTAGGTCCTCTCAAAGGGATCCGCCAGGGGAGGGCCATCGCGAGGAGTGAGACCTCTGATATCCAGGTCCGGTTGGGCCAAGGGGCGCAACTAGCAGAACCTGTTCCTCGTCCTCCCTGACCTTGCACAGTAACTGCGCGAGCAGGCTCACTGGGGAAAACGCATACTTGCGCATGCCCCGAGGCCAGCTGTGGGCCAGTGCATCCGTGCCGAGAGAGCCCTCGGTCAGGGAAAAAAACAACTGGCAATGAGCGTTCTCGGGGAAAGTAACAGATTGATCTGGGCTTCCCCGAATTAATTAATTAAATCAGCTGAACAGACTCGGGGTGGAGTCTCCATTCTCCAGGACGTAAGGCTGCCGTGAGAGCGCATTGGCTGCACGGTTGAGCTTGCCCGAATATGAATGGCGTGCAGCGATTTCAGCCGCGGATGACTCCAGAGGAGCAGACGGCGGGCGAGCTGAGACATGCGGCGAGAGCACATACCCCCCATACGGCTGATATCCGCCACCGCCACCGCACTGTCCGTCCTGACCAGCACGTGTTGCCGCTCCAGCACCGGAAAAACGGTGGAGAGCGAGGAACACTGCCAACAGCTCCAGGCGATATGCCAATGCAACTGGGTACCTTTCCACAGGCCCGCAGCCGCATGCCCGCAACGCACAGCCCCCCAGCCCGTGTTGGAAGCGTCTGCTGATAACCAGACTGGACGCCTGTTCTAGAGACACCCAGGCCTGTAGAAACGAGCGGTCGCTCCCGGGGCTGAGGGCGCGGTGACACAGCGCAGTAACAGAGACTCGGTGTGCGCGCGCGTGCCATGCGCGTCTGGGGACTCGATCGTGAAGCCAGTGCTGAAGTGGTCTCATATAGAGTAATCCGAGCGGCATGAAGCGGCTGCGAATGCCATATGCCCCAGGAGTCTCTGAAATAATTTCAGTGGGACCACTATTTTACTGTCGAGCTCTCTCAGACAGTACAGCATCAGCTGAGCGCACTCTCCGGAGAGGCGCGCTGCCATGGTGACCGAGTCCAGCTCCAGCCCGAGAGAAGAGATCCTCTGCACGGGGGCGAGTTTGCTCTTTTCTCGGTTGACCTGAAACCCCAACAGGTGGAAGTGCCAGAACACTTTGTCTCTGTGCATAATCGATTGCTCCGAGAGAGGGCAAAAATCAGCCAGTCGTCAAGAAACTGAGTATGCAGATGCCCGCGAGCCAAAGGGGCATTAAGGCACCCTCCGCGGGCTTGGTGAGGACCCCCGGAGACAGAGAGAGCCCGAAGGGGAGGGCTTTGTATTGCCAAGCTCGACCTTCAAACGCAAACCGCAGAACTGACGGTGGCGAGGAAGAGTGGAGACATGAAAATACGCGTCCATCAGGTCTAATGCTGCAGACCAACCCCGAGGACGAACGCACCGGAGGATGCGCTTCTGCGTGAGCATTCTGAACGGCAGCTTGTGCAGACAGCGGTTCAAAACGCGCAGATCTAGGATTGGCCGTGACCCACCACTCTTTTTGGGCACGATGAAGTGCGGGCTGTAAAACCCGCTCTCCATCTCGGCTGGAGGGAGCGGCTCGATTGCATCCTTCGCCAGGAGGACAGCAATCTCTCGCAAGACAGGGGCGGACAGGGGGCTTACCCTGGTGAATACACACCCGAGACTTGGGGGGCCGTTTCACAAACTGAATCGCATAGCCGAGTCTGATTGTGCGTATGAGCCACCGCGAAGAGCTGGCCCACGCTAACCAGGCAGGCAGAGCTCTCGCTAATGGACTCATCGCTACAATCGCTGACGTACCAGCAGTGGGGCAGCGCGGAGTGGGTGTGCTGATCCGGGAAGCGCGCGGGTCCCACGGAAAAGCTGGAGGTGAGATATTTGCTCTCACTTCGAACCCGAGCTCCGGAGGGGAGGCTCGAGGGGTGGGAGAAAGGAGACCGTCCTCCCAGCGCTCGTGAGCCACTAGCGAAACGCACCGAATCTGCAAGCTAGAAAGCATAGCGTCCCAGACTGGCAGATTTCGGGCTGTCACATCCGGGGAAGTGGAAAGTGCTCTCTCATGATATTTTCATGGCAGTAAAAAAGTGCCGTTGGAAATGGGGCCCCGCCCTCCAGCGGGGAAAGAGCAAGTTCCCTCTTCCCCAGATGGCCTGTCCCAGGGGCGCTTCGCGGTCCGTTGCCGGACTTAGCGGCGTTCTGGGCAGGGGGGCTGCCTGCTTCCGAGGTGCCCGACGCGCTCGCTTCGCCGGAGGCGTGTGCGGGGGCGGAGCAGCTCTCGTAGGCGGGCGCCTTCGGCGAGGAGCAGGTATGAATGGCACGGCGGGCGGAGCGGGCTACGGACCGCCGATAAGACATCACCCACCAACTGCTCTCTCACCGCCTTGAATTCCTGGGTGAATTCACAGACAGTGTCGCCGAACCTGGCTGGGGGATATGGGGAAGTCAAGAAAGCGGACTTTGTCGACTTTGCGCATATCAGCCAGGGGTGGTGCTCCTTGACTACTAATGTGGACATCGTCCTCCCCAACGCACACGCAGCGGACTCAGTAGTCCGAAGAGCTAAGTCGGCGGCGGTGCGAAGCTCGTAAGCCTGGGTTGGAACCACCCTCGTGCAGCTCGGCCAGCGCCTGCGCTTGGTAGCGCTGGTAGGTGGCTATCGCATGCAAGGCGGAAGCAGCCTGGCCCGCAGCTATGTAAGCTCTAGCTCCGAGGGAGGCAGATAACTTACATGCTTTGGATGGGAGACGAGGCGGACCCCGCCAAGAAGAGGCGCCGCGCGGATTGACCGCCATCGCGCACTAAACCTGAGGAATCGCCACATACCCCCTGGCTGTTCCACCGTCAAGAGTGGTGAGGGTGGAGGGACACACAGCACGAGCAGAAAAAAGTGCTTTTCAAGACCGCGTGAGCCTACTGTGCACCTCCGGGAAGAAGGGAACGCCCCTCTAGTCGGTCCGGCCGCGGAGCTGGGGGATAAACCATCTCCAACCCACGGCCGAAGCAGCCCGGGAAAGCACGGCTAACATGTCCGTTTTAGGATCCGAAGTGACAGCGCTCACCAGCCCGAAGGGGGTGAGCGGGTCTGGATCATCATCGGACAATGAAAGCCCACCCTCCAATGCCGCGGTGGACGTCTGGTCTCCGGTGTCATCGGCCGTAAGGGCTACCATCTGTTAGACGGATCGCTTCCCCCGCCCGAAGCTTGGATGGAGCGCTTAGAGGAGCGGGAGGTCCGCGGGCCCGTGGGCGACGGATTATCTCTCGCTGAAACCCTCAGATCTGCACGAGTGCCCGCTGCAGAGCAGGGGACAACTGGGGTGGTTCGCCCTTTTGCAAAGGCTAACCGCGATCTTGCGCAACAGTCATGGCATCGCAATGATGACATGAACTGCCCGCGAGCAGCGCATTAACATGCTGGACCCCCAGACATGTAACGCAGTGCCCGCGCCCATCGTCCGAGGACAGGAAACCACCGCATCCAGAAACGCACAGTCGGAGCGCCGTTTCATCCACTTATGGCACTGAAGTTCCCCAACCGAAGGGGAACCAAAGTTACTATAGAGTCCAGTAGTCGGGTACATTTATATTAATGCCCTAACCTCTAATTTGAAATGATGATTGTCTTAACTCAAAGCTGTACACCTAAGCGGGAATAACTAAAGTATTTTAGAACGAGCGCGCTGGTAGCGGCCATCTAAAGTATTAGTCAATTTACCTCTGTTTAATATTCAAGACTGACCGGAGTGTGACCGTGAGGGACGCCTTCAGCCGAGGCGATTTCTCTGAGCGACATGAGCACCCGAATGAACGAATGTAATAGTTACTAGTGAAGACAAAAGGTTCAAACATTTATCTAAATTACATATTGATATAATCTTCTTAATGTTTTATGATTGGAGTCAGATAAAACAAGGATAAATATATTAATATTCTAAACCACCTCATATTAAAATTGGAGTCAGATATGAGCTAAGTTTAATATAAATCAACGTTGTGCACTGGAAAGACCGAACAGGCATTAAACCTTCATCCACCAGTGGACACCGGCATTGGGCCAACTGGGTGGACCTTACAAAATGGTGACCCATCTCCGTGATCTCCCAACTCAGGCGAGTTACGTCTTTCCAGCACAAAATGGATTCATATCAAGCAAGAGGTTTGGATCTTCTATTCGATCTTCAGCTGCTGTGGTAAGTCAATTCTTCTTTGCCTATTAGAAATGTTGAGGGAAAGCGGGACGCACCCTATATAAACACATTGATAGAATGAGTCGGAAATGCTCAAAAATCTTAGACCGGAATCCGTTATCCGGTGGGGTTGAGAATTAGACAAAACCACTTTGATTATCAGGGACATGATAGCAGAAATATAGACAAACGCCATCCCTTGCTCTGAAATATCTCTTTGTCTGCTAGACAGCAAGAGTTGAAGCTTAAATTGGAATAACATCATCCAAATTATATTCTGGAACTCAGTGGAGAGTCACAAATTAGATCCAAAAAGTTTAAATCAAAAACTATCCATTGTTTTTAATCTACTGTTTTATAAAAAAATAGAAAAATGGAAAACAGGAAAAAATGGTTTAAGATGTAAAAACAATTGTAAACTTTTAAATTGGATTAATTACAACAGTCTGTTTTAAGGCATTTGCATGTGAAAAATAAAGGTGAGCAGAACAGAATGATTCGATTGAAAAAAAGACAAATAGGCTCTAATGAAAACTCTGCCTTTACAAATCAGAAATTTGTCATTTAAATTTAAAGGTGATAAATTAAAATATGATGCTGATCACTTAAAATATCCACTATACTTTAATTTAATCTCGAAACAGATTAAATATAAAAGATAGAAATTAAATTCTAAGATTTTAGCTTTAAATCAGCCCTTAGACCTCCTGATTGCTCAAACCTTTTCATATTAAAATGGCCTGACAGAGAGCCAAGAAATTTCACCTCAGTGAGAATAAGATTCTGAGAATGTGTTTGCTGTATTTGCATATAACAATTACATTCTTCCATTTGGCCACAAGCCTTTGCTGACTCTTTTGTTCTCCATGCAACCTACAGGCAAACACAGCTCTGATCACAAGATAAAAGCATTAAGCTAAAATGAACTGTTGTTCTAAAACACTCTCCAGAGACCAGATATAATTATATTTAATACATACTATTTTTTATATAATATAATTACATTAGGAATAAACAATAATGTACATTATATTATAACCGCCAATCATGGCACTAAAGACCAAAGATGAAACATTCATCTTGAGGAGGTTTGCTTTCTTTATGCTTTAATGAAAACACTGACAGAACTACTATAGCATAACTGATTGTAAACCAAATAAATCCTCGCTGAAAAACACCACCTACAATTAAAATTTGATCAGAGAGTTAAACTCACCAGAAAAATAATGAAAGGGGGATGGATATGATAACATTCAGAGTTACCAAAGTTTTTTATGGGTCAAAAGATCTAACCTGTGAGCCACACCATAAAATGAAAACTGTTAAGCAGAAAACACCAAAAGGGTGAAATGATTTCTGCCAACAGATCTGACTGTTAATGAGAGCAGAAAAAATGTCCCCAGCGGAACTGGGAGGTAATGCTCAGAATACAGCAGACTGTGTAAACTCAACAGAGAGAGCAGTTTCAGGTGTTACACACTCACAATATGCTGAAATCAACAACAGCAATTCAGATCTGACCAACAACATCATGTGGCTTCCAGAATTAATATTGCAAAATGATGCATTAACATTAATTCCACATGATTGAATTTGAAACTGATGAAAATTCTAAAATTAACTATGGTTCTCTCTGCTTTTGTTCTCATCTTAGGCAGACCAATGACAAAGAACGCTCCAGATCCGGTCCACTTCAAACAAATACAAATGAGGGCGACAAAAGGTTAGGCCATAACCTGAGAGGCCAAAAGTCTTCCATCTTGCACCTCAAAGCAAGAACCCCTGTATGGCAAACACCTCACCTGCAGTGAGTCCTCTGAAAAAGTCTTTGATCAGTCATCAGAATAACAATTATCCACAGCTGATCTTATCAATGGATTTAGCATTCTCTTTGCTGAAACTCAGCTTCATCCCCCCAACTCACGCATATGGTCATTTCAATGTTTGAATGTTCTAGATTAACCAAACTGACTTTAACTATCATTTTTGATATCATTTGAAATGTCTCAGTGCGATTGCTACAATGGTCTCATTCTCTCAGAAATAGACATAAAACAATAAATATATAACTTCAGGCATCTTTTGAACCACTGTGAAGGGTGTGACTTTTCCCTAAGTGTGAATGCCTTTTGTTATTCACACCCCCTTCCTTGAGGGAATTCTTGGATTATTTAAGGTAAGGTCTGAGAAAGATTCAGCGCGATTCTACCTACCCAGATCAGCCCATGACATGGAGCCTAGGCTACACGTTATGTAAAATTTACACGTTATGTAAAAGGTCAGGTATGCATCTTTTCATCTTGGATTTATCTTTGATAATTTGATGTTTTGTATTGATCATTTATGAATTGACTGATTGAATTGGCATAATACATTTACCTGACTAATAAATTGTAATGTTTGACCATATTTTGCTCACTCTGTAATTATTAATTCAAGTAGATTACGCTGTATCCTTGTTTCCGCACGTCTTGCGTCAGGTCAGTAGACGGACTAAAATCCAATTGAGATGGAGCATTGGGCACACTAATTGTGTTTTAGCGATCCGGCTGACTCTTGATATTGATTCATGTGTACTTAGGTGGAAAGGGCGATAACTTCCGTCTAGGTCAACAAGGTGTTGCACGACTAACCTAGATTGGGTACCCGACCTTTGTTTGAAGGTAATATTATTCTAAATTAAGTTCATATGGGAAACCATGGGCTTGGTGAAAACCAAAGTTACTATAGAGTCCAGTAGTCGGGTACATTTATATTAATGCCCTAACCTCTAATTAGAAATGATGATTGTCTTAACTCAAAGGTGTTCACCTAAGCGGGAATAACTAAAGTATTTTAGAACGAGCGCGCTGGTAGCGGCCATCTAAAGTATTAGTCAATTTACCTCTGTTTAATATTCAAGACTGACCGGAGTGTGACCGTGAGGGACGCCTTCAGCCGAGGCGATTTCTCTGAGCGACATGAGCACCCGAATGAACGAATGTAATAGTTACTAGTGAAGACAAAAGGTTCAAACATTTATCTAAATTACATATTGATATAATCTTCTTAATGTTTTATGATTGGAGTCAGATAAAACAAGGATAAATATATTAATATTCTAAACCACCTCATATTAAAATTGGTGTCAGATATGAGCTAAGTTTATTATAAATCAATGTTGTGCACTGGAAAGACCGAACAGCCATTAAACCTTCATCCACCAGTGGACACCGGCATTGGGCCAACTGGGTGGACCTTACAAAACCATACATTTTTGACCGTATTAGCCACCTAACTGACAAAACGTAAAATAGTTACATTTTCTCGTGAGATCAGGCTGGGTTCATTGGAAATATGTGCCTTAGCCTACATTTTTGCAAAACATAAATACGTTGCTCCAGGTAGGATTTGTTGCATATTTTAGGTGACAAATTCACTAGAGGGCGCTATCTGATTTTTTTGCGATTCTGAAAAACGTTACTTAGTTTTGGCATAAGTCTTAGATGTGTATTATATTGTTTTGTGTATAAATATTGAGTCCTCTTCTTGTACACAATAAGGTGGGGCTTGTTGCACCCTTCCTTAAACCCAACCAATAGTGTTTGCAAATGTAAGCAAAAAGTCTACTGCAACCACAGAGTTTACATTTACATTGTATCAATTGACCCTTTGCTAAGCCCCGCCCTCCTTAGTTACTACGCCTGTCCAGCTTTCGTGCCTGGCATGGCTTTTGCAATGTGTAAGCACCGGTGTCAGACATTGCCAGGGGTATAATGTCATTTTTGGCGAACAGGTGAGATATCTGAGAAAGCCAGACAAAAAAGGACTGCAGTATGCATTACAGGGGTATATTCACCACATAATAGGTAACCGATTAGAGAATAATTCAATCAAAATTGAAGCTAGTTTAGCCTAACCGCCTCATTCGCTAGCCATTCAACAGCTTAGCTCTGGCTTAGCAGGAGAAATGAAATCTAAAAATAATCTAAAAATAACAAATTAAACCGTGACTTCTCTATTTTTAGCCAAAAAGCCTGATAGATTAATTGTTGTGCAGTGAAATATAGCGTTACTAACCGACGAGGAAACACGCATGGACAATGTTTCTTTATCATTCATTGATAGAAAAAACAGCCAGAAAGGGGAAACTGATGTATTTGTGCCAAATATTAGCATCATTGACCCTTAACAATGTACAGTAAGTTACCTATTACTGTCAGTATGTTTGTGTGCTCTTTATAAATGACTGAAAAACAGCTGCTGATAAAGTATGTTGATCGCAAGTGCTCAGTTTCTGATCGCGTCTCTGTTTTCTTCTGTTGATTTGGAATTTTAAATATTTGTAGCTTGAAACAGACGGAAATATGAAGTTCAGTAAAGTTAGCAACAGATTCGCACATTCATAGTTTCCGGATCAAAAACTCATGACCTATTCGCTATTTGTATGACTAACGTTACTATGGCGAAGGCTTAAACGGAGCATTGCTCATAATGTCGAGTGAAAAAAGAAAAAGACATCCGTGAAACATGACCTGCTTTGTATTTTTGTAGGAAAAAGTTTAGATCTGTTTAGGGTAATTGAGAGTTATTGCTGTCAGTCTTTCACTGAATTTGTCAGGAAGTTCAAAACAAAACCAACTTAACTCCGCTCCTTAAGCGCCCCTCACACAACTTGATCCACGCTGGCATTTCTCCTCTTGGAATTTTAGTTTTGAAAAGGGAAAAAATTCCACTATCCCGTCCAAACTTTTAGAATACCGGGTATCAGATTTGCACAATCCATAAGCACAACGCGATGGCCTGTTTCCCTCGCTCGAAAGCTTGACAGAGCCCCTACCCGTAGGTTGCTAAGCCACGATTGGTGGGTGGTGGTTTTTGGGTGTGGCTTAGCGAAGGGTCAATTTTGTGGAACTGTGCTTCTTTAGACTTGAACCCGAGCATCACACAGTACAAACTGAACTACCAAGCCAACGCTAACGCATTCCATTACATATCATAGGCATTAATAATATTTAGCTGTTTTTTATGGTGTTGTGCAAGGATCTGCACGGAAATAATAATTTGTTTGTCTGTAGTATGTCCCTGTAAATATCACTAGTGTGCAAAGGAACAAAAATTGTTGGTGCCACACTGCCCCCTAGTGTTTGTTTCAACTATAAACTGCAAACAAACTGAAACACATTTCTCCAATGAGACTGTGTTGATATTCCTCAATAAAATACTCTATATATATATATACACACACACACACACACACACACACACACACACACACACACACACACACACACACACACACACACACACACACAAACTTTGACTTACTAGCTGTAAAACACTCTCAATGTTTTGAGTCTGGGTTAGGTCTAAATATGACCCAAGTTTCATTTGAAGTCCTATGACGTTTTCTGTAAGGGCACACAAACACAAGGCATAAAATTAGATGATACGATTAACTGTTTATGTGACGACACACAATCTTGACGCAAGTCCTACCTGTCCCATTGTTCACAAGAAAAGCCCAACGACCAGGAACATTTACATTAGTCGTGTTTTTGAGGTTTGGGATGTAGGAGCCATTAGAATGATAATGAATGACATGGTAATCAGTGGAGTTTATGGTATCATATCCAGCCTAATAAAACAATGTACAGGAATGTTATGCATATAAAGTTAACATACAGTATTTAATCATGATTTTTTTTTTTTTTTTTTACCTCCACTGGATAAGATATTGCGGCGCAGTCACCGTAATTCATCATCATGAAAGAAAAACCACCTCCTGAAATCAAAACTACTTGAAATGTGATTGGCTGAAAATAAAACAAAACAAAATTATGATTCATAATCGATTTATCCTTCAGTATTATGCTTTGAGAGATAGAAAGATCAAATTTACTGGGTCTGAATGACGATCATATGCATTCATATCCCATGTAAGCACATAGTCCCATGTGACAACAAAGACCCAAGAAGCAGTGAAGCCCCTGTTAGGGAAATACTGGTTTATATCCTGAGTGGCCTGGTCGAGCACACTTCCATTTGTGTACTCCTGATACCAATATTTGCCAATACCAATGTCATCAAGGTCAGTCCAGAGCGCAGCAATGTAATCTTCATTTCCATATGTGGGAAAGGGTTCAGGGTGAGATTCTGTTAAAGACTGGTTGAAAGTAAGGAGTCCATTATAATTAACCTGAAATAAATTAATAAACAAAAATCAGTTTAAATCCAGCAGCAGAATGTGAGCCAGTTATCAAAACATTTGATTCATATTAGACTAGAACTGAATTCTCACATATATGCTGCTGTACTTGCGGCCAAAGTATGTAAATGGAGCAGAGAAATCCACATATTGAAAGGAGTCATTGTCAAATTCAAGATGTTCAATGTCTCCCGCTGATGAGCCGAATGGATAGAATATTGCTGGGGCTGGCGAGAGCATAAACAACAAAACATACAAATGTAGATGGGAGATGTTTTACTACTCATCTCATATTCCTGCTATTAAAAAAAGTAATCAAATACCTGCCCATGCAGTTGCTGTTGTTGTATAGACTGTTAAAAAATAATTCATTTATAAAACACAATATATATATATATATATATATATATATATATAAAACATTAAATAATGTGTTGTACAGTTAATGTGAGTCTTTAATTTTTGGCAGACTTATTACCTGACGTGGTCATCAGTATAGTGTTTAATCTAGTGGTGTCTGAAACAATAAAATGCATATAAATGCAATTAAACAACTCATGAACTCTCTTAAACTGCACTTCTAAAAAATTAGCTAGCTACACTACATGCTACTTCCTATATAGGTAGTAACACTGAAGCTTTTTTCACACAGTGTAAAAAATGCTGAGCTCCACACAATTCCTTCATGTTGTCATAACACTAATCGATTAAGTTAACTTGCTTGTTTTTACAAATTAAAGTGGTTTGAACTTAAAACAATTATGTTGTCCCTCCAAAAACTACATAATTGTGTTGATTTAAGCTCATTTTAATAGTTTGAAGCAGTTAAAACTATTCTTTGAGTACAGACAGGTTACAGTTTTTTAAATATTAATTATTCATTATTTTATTTAAATATTTATTTCTTTAAATATTTCATTGCACGGTTTTAAAGTTCTCAGACTGTTAAGCATCAAAGTTGGAACAAATGTAGATCAGTTATCATAAAGTTTAGCACACGGTAGCACCTAAAAACAATGTTCTTACCTCAGCTGAATTGCCATTAGTTTAATTTATGTACTGAATTTCAGCTGTCTTCACTAAACAAAATATTGTTTACAAAATAGAAATGAACAAATTCATGTAAAACTGTAAGATGTGTGATTTACCACTAGATGGCTGCAATACACCATTGTAGTATGTGATCTTGAATACGACACTGTGCTGCTTCAGACTATTGCAGGTTCACTAAATGGAATGTAGCTGCTGGCAAGCAAGATATTTCCTGCTAATAGCAGTGTATTGGAAAGAGTAGATAACTACTAGAAAGGCTACAGTATATTATCATAATCATAATATCATCTCTGAAAACTGTAGATAATCAAGTACCTGAGCTATTTGTAGCTATAGCTTATCCCCAACACTGGCATTTATAAAGGATATTTCATAAGCGGAAGCAAAACCTCCACATTTCGTGACTTGGTGGTCCTTTAAGGTAATCAAAAATCGTTGCTTACATGGTAGACTCTTAATAAGAGTATTATCTTAATCATATTAAAATCAGAGTATTGGTGTCCATGTAAATGTATTTAGAAAGTGCCTGATGAAGTCGCGAGCTGGCAAAGACAGCGCATTCCTCTGCCTTTCAGCATGCACCCTCCAGTGTTTTATTAAATTTGATGTGTTTCCCCCTTAAACGCAAGTGTCTGCTTTGCGCTGTTGTGTCAGAATCCTTGTGAAATACAGCCATATTTTAGAACGCTTATTTTAAGCAAATTTGACAAACACGATCATGCGTGAATTGAATTGAATCTGAAGGGAGTCTCTCCGGCTGCCCTGTCCTGCGTGCATTGTGTGTGTGTGTGTCTGTGTCTGTCTGCGTTTGTGTGCGCGCGCATGTGTTTTATAGCAACAAACCTGCCTAAACCTGCTTTAACCATTGTCCGTAGCCGCTAAATCCAAAAGTTTCAAAATTGTTTGTATTCAATACTTTTATTGTTATTATAATTTTCCGTATCTGTAATGCCTGTATTTTGGCATTTTTTGCAGTCCACTTAGAAACCAACTTGGAAATAATTTTATTCTTTATTGGCATTGACTGTTTTGAAATTCAAATGGCACTAACATGCCTGTGTTTTTATTTCTGTAATAAATATGGCTGTCAAGCCAGGCGCTTGATGGTTTATTGTGGGTATGTTGTTTACAATAATATTTAGAATATAATTAGTTTTTGTATTGCATTTACATTAATTTTACATTTGAATAGGCAAAATTACAACATTCAGTCTTTGAAATGTGATTAATCCTGATTAATTGTGATTAATTTTCAAAAAAAGTTTGATTTAATGAGTTAAATTTTTTTTAATCGATTGACAGCACTAGTAAACATACATAAAAATGCGAGTTTTAGGATCAATGGAATTTATTATTTTATCACCTTCATTACCCATTAAGGTTGTCAGTGCGGTGGTTTCTGAAAAATTCAAAAATACAAACACTCACTCAAAAAGGATGTTTGCTGTTTGTTCAAATTAATAATCAACTAATGAACAAGCTAATATGTTGACTTAATTCCTTCATGTTGTGCAGGCACAAATCAATTGTGTGAAACCCATTTTTGACAGTGCTTAAATACCCCATGAAACCATGAAATGTTTTCTTTTTTCCATCTTTATTATGGAAAGTTTGATGGAAGAACATAAATTAAAATTCACTGATCTACGATTTGTTTACTCTGAGTCAGGCACTTTTGGGAAAAAAAAGTGATTTATCTTTGAGATTGAATATGGTTGGTTGGATTATTGTAGTCTTACATGAGCAGTCAATACTATTTCCCATCATAATATTTTCCTTTTACTCAGAATTTTAATTGTAGATCTCATTTTATGTTTATTTTGTCTCCATTCTTACACTAAAATACTGTATATAGAGTAACTCATGACTAATTACCTGATTAAACTTCGGTGACTTGTGATGTATTTTCCATCGAAGTGGATCCTAAAAGAGTTAACACATATAAACAACATTAAATACCACTCAATTGATAAAGTGCAGTTGTCTTTGTTATTAAATATGCTTATAAAAACTATATGAACTATAAAAAAAAAGATAAAGTTTAAATTCAAAGATCTGTCAGTATCTATTATTGCTGTTGTTTTAGTGTCTGTTAAAGGAAGACAGTTAAAAGAAAACGAAAAAAAAAAAACTCTTAGGAAATAACTCTCACTATTAACTATTGGCTTATCACCTGCCTATCATTAATATTTTAACTCTTTATTAGTACTTATAAAGCACATATTTTGCATGATTGTATTCTACATCCTTTATTGTACCAATATGTACACTCAACTATTCCTTATTAACAATTTATTAGCAACAAATCATGAGTTTATTGAGCTTAAAGTCAGCTAATGGTTTGTTAATAGTGAGAATTGTACCTTAAAATAAAGTGTGAGCATGTTTTTTTTTTTTTTTTTTTTGTGAGAGAAAAGACATTTTAAAGTTCCATAATTACCTGTTGTTGTTTGCGCCCTGACTGTTAAAAAGAAATAAATAAATAAATTCAGAGACATATGTTTGCTTTTTCCACATTATTTAACAGATGGTAAGAACACTTACGCAGAGCCAGGACTGATGCGAACACCAGAAGATGGTGTAAAACCAGAGAAAAGCTCATGATGAAACGTTAAAGATCAAATGCCTGATGCAGGAGTCCGTCTTTTGTAATCAGAAAATTATTAATTCTCTCTAACTGATGCCAATCTAGAACAATGGAAACAGGGACTAGATATTTTCTATACATTTGTTAAACCAGCAGTATTTTTTAAGATTTTTAGAATCTTTAAAATAATCTTTGAATCCAGATCTTATATCTAAAAACAATCATAACCAATCGTTAGTCATAACCCAACGTTGGCTCAAAATATGGACAGTTAAAATAAAACTTACATTTTTAATCCAATGTTTTGGTTTGTCCATATTTTTGACCCAGTGTTGGTTTAGAACGACACAATATATATTTTTATTTGACCTCTGAGTAAAGTCTACTCAGTTCACATTGTTCAGTAAATAAATAAAAAAAGGTTTGCTAATATTTTAAACGCTTTACAACCTTTAAAACACCTATAACACAAGGTTGTAAAGGTCACCCGAATTCCGCATAATTACACCTACTTTATTTCTAACTTAACAATTCATTGATAAAAGTATCATATTGCTGCTGTCCTAAACATAAGATACATATTTAAGCATATTTGTTGCTGTTTTCTCAGCTTTTATTGTTTATAGACATGTACAGTATATCAATTATTGGTAACAACAATTGGTTACATCATGTTTTAGTTTCAGTTGAACAAGTAAGAATTGGTGAACAAGTCGATTGGTCAGAGATTATATCTCATAGAGTGTAACAGTAAACAGCGAGATGTGACTTACCCCACACACTTTCTCCTCAGATGTTCTCACGTCAGCTGTGTTTGAGCAGGAAGATATGATTTTAAACATCTCTGCACTGTTTACAGGAATAACAATCCCTGTAATGGAGGAACTTTTGTGATTACTGTGTCAAAAACAAAAAAACAAGATCATTAAAAAAATACTTTACTTGCCTTTCTAGATGTATCATTTCACATTCATTCTTCCATCAACTTGCATGAAGAAAGCTTTTATATGGTTACACTGTTATGTTTTTTTGTTTTTCTTTTTTGAATGTTGTGGAATCCCAAAGGTTGATCTAATGTTAGAACATTTATACTAACAGGAGAGACTACATTCAAAAATAATCTACAGAATGACACATAAGCAGCTGAAAAACACAAATGCTGAACAAACAAAACACTTATGCCTCTTTCTGACATACTTCCTAGCTGTTTAAATAGATGATAAGAGAATTAAACAAGATGCAGAGAATGTCTGCTTTTTTGATTTTTAGGAACTGTGAAGGGAATATGAAGGCAACATTAAAATGGTTTTTAAGTATTAAAAAATATTAAAATATTGAAAAGTGCTTTTATAATGTATGTGTATATATTGAAGAAAAAGATAACAAGTTATTTTTGAATGTTGAATGTTGAGTTTTGAATGTACTTTAATTGAAAACAAGTAGTAAAAACATTAGCTGAAGCCCTACCTAAACCTTTTTTTTTATATTAAAACATGCTGGCATGTGTTTGTCTTAAAAATGGTGGGCACTGTGCAAAGACATTTTTAAAATTTCTAATTATATATAGATTCAAAAATAATAATCTAGAAAATGCATTTGCTAACTTAGCATATTCAACTGGTAAATCACTGGCAACCTAGTGAAAAATAAAGATTTAAGTGGCAGCAAGTGGAGCTTTTGGCTCTTTGTCATCTACACTGTAAAAGTGATGATTTACTTAAAAAAGCTGTGTAAACCCACTGCCTTAAAAGTGTCAAGTTGACTACCTAAAAAAGTGAGTATACCCATTGTAATTAGGAACTTTTAAGTTGATTTAACTTAATTTTTATAATTATATGCATACAGTTCTAAAATACTAAATTTTTACAGTACTAAATTTTAAAGAAATCAATTTACTCACTTTTTAGGTGAAGTCAACGGTCACACTTTAATTTGATGGTCTGTTTGCTGAATTTAATTTACATTGCATCTACATGCAAACAAATTCTCATTAGATTGTTATGTTGGGGTTAGGGTTTAGGGTTAATGTAAGTTGACATACTTGTAAAGTTTCTTATAGTCAGTTAAATGTCTGTTGAAGGAGCAGTATCAGCAGATATTAAGCAGACAGTCTACTATTACTCACTTATTTTAGATCAACTATGAATTTTTACAGTGTATGGGAGCAAAATAAACAAACCACAACATCAAATGTATATTATTTTTCTGCAGATTGAGGTGTTTATTTAGTATATGTTAGCATCAAAGCTTAATGTGAATGTTGTCTTATTGTATACGTTTTTGTTTTAAAACATAAAGAAACTTAGAAATGTAAAAAAAAATAAGTAAAAATTATTTATTAAAACACAGAAAACAGCATTTCAATAATCTATAGTACAGCAGCAATTAAAAACCGTCTAAAAACCCTATGATTAAGACAGCTATGTGTGCTTTTGTGTAAAAATATGATCGAAAGCAAATATATTGGTCTCTCATTAAAAATTCAAAACCATATCTTCTTGTGCAAATATAAACCAATCAAAACTTTTGTTTTCCCTTACATGCATAGAATAGACAACGCCAATCATGTAGTTTCATGAATGACATGATGGTCCAACTGAAGTTTCATGACAAAGCAATGTTGTCCAGCAATGCAAAGGTCAATATAAAAGAACATCTGATTACTTTTAAAGTTAAGAAAAATGGTTTAGATACTATAAACCTGTTGTTTATTATTTAGTTATGCCATATTATTCGCATCTTTAGGACACGAAAAAATATAAGTGATTACAAATCCAGCTAAATGAATACTGTATAGAAAAGAGTTTGATTACAATTCATTGTGTTGTACATCAAGTGTGGATATGCTATATAAGTAAATATGTTAGAAAGCTGAAGACTCATTAATGTAAAGGTTTCCTGCAGCAGAGACTTTCAGGGCTTTAATTTTCTCAATTCGGCGGCACCTTTTCGACCTTTCTTTTCATTAACTCGAATTTACCTGACAGCCCACGGTTGACCAGTTCTTGTTTTATCTAAAACACAGATGGACAGACAGATGAATATAGATTTATTTGCATCAAACTTCACTTGTTATGAATGTCCATTAAAAATAAAAGTCCCTGTTGACTTACTTGCTGCAGAACAGCCTCCAGATTATCACTCTGTGTCAGGTCTAAAAACGATTTGATTTTAAATTGAGTTCCTATAATATTTTCTAAAAAAAAATCCAAACAAACATAATTAGACATTTTAACATATGTACAGCAAACAAATTAACATGGAGTGTTAATTTTGTCAACGAAAATGGCTTGACATTAACAGAAACTTTACAGTTCTAAGTAACGTGTTCCAATTCGCTCATCTAATCAATGAACAGCACAATGCAGTGGAATAGTACATACATATTACAAATATTAATATTTGTCTTTTATTGTTGTTCATTCATTAGATGAGTGGATCAGAGTGTGTGCGTTCATAGTTTTCAAGTCAAGTCGAGTCAAGTTGAGCTTTATTCTCATTTTACTACATGGATGGACATGGGGTGGAATGAAAGGTCGTGTCTCTCTAGAATGCGGTGCTAAATAAATAAGCAATCATAAATATAAAAACAACACTGGATGTAAGAGCTATTTTAAACCTATACATTAGAATCCAAGCACTTTAACATAAGTCAGAACAATATTGTGCAAAAGAGGTATTTATGGTTGAAGTGGTGCAACATGATCGTAATACATTCACAAGTAAACAGTGTTTTCCTTATTGAGTCCTTGTAAGATGGAGTTTAAGTTAAGTGGCTGGTGCATCTGTAGAGAAGAGCGTATTTTTAGGTGGTTTGTCAAGCCCACTCACCTGTGTGAGGCACACTCTAAAATGAACAGTGTTTTATAGAGATATAAAGTGATTGTAAGAAAATTTCTGATGCATAGAGAAATGAAATAAAGCAGAAAACTTTTTTACAGGTGGTTTGTCAACACCACTGACCTGTGTGAGGCACACTCAGTCACGTTATTAGCAGAGAGGACTCATAAAGTTTCTGTTTTTTGTCAAGCTATAGGCAATGAGCCTTTTTGCCATTCATTTTGTTGACAAAATTAACCCTGATGTAAAGCTTTATTAAATGTCTACCATATCCTTTGTTTGAGACGAAGGCCCAGCGACCGGGAACACCAACATTAGTTGTGCTCTTAAGGTTTTGGTAGTTAGTATCTGAATTAGGAATTACAAATTTGTTCACAGAGTTTATTGTGTCATATCCAGCCTACAAAACAATGAAAAACAAATGCTGAGTTGACATGAAGTTTAGAATGTCAAGAAATCTAGTGATGTTTATTTTACCTTTACTTGCTCATAAAGCACCACATCACAGTCTCCAAAATTCATCAGAAAGAAAGTCCAGTTACCACCGGAAATTAAAACCACTTGTGACAGGATTGTCTGAAACAAAACAACATAACATCATATTTAAAAGATTATAGAGTCTGTATGTTTTAATTATGCACATTCTGAATAGCACATAAAAAAAACACTTTATGAAAAATTGTAATAAAAAACATATGCACACAGCTGAGTAGAACAAGCTTTTTATCCAGTAAGAAAATGCGCATAAACTACAATGGAAACACATTTCACGAACAAAATTCCAACATGCGCATAAAAAATTGTGTGATTTTGTTTATAGTTTTTGTGATAACGAAAATGGGTGGACCGAGCACATTGTAAAACATCTGAAATGTTGTTTTGGTCAATCTAAAAAAATCCCTCAGCCAAAGTCTGTCATGACAGTGGTTCAGTATTATTATTATTATTATTATTATTATTATTATTATTATTATTATCTCAAGTTCTGTCTGAATCGTCTGCACTCCCAAAGAGTGTCTCACGCCCCCAAAAGCCATAATGTGTTCATTGCAATGCAGTCTCATTCTGTAAACATACCCCTATATACATTCCTGGAGAGCGCTAAAAATGTCCCAGGAGCGTTTTTAGCAGTTTTTGTTTTTGCAAATTCACCAGAGGTCGCTGTGTATGCTTTTTGAGATCTTAATTTTTTTTTTTTGCTAGTGCCATTTGCACCTGCTATTCTCGCGTAAATCCACCAGAGGCCGCTGTCAACTGACTGACTGACTGAAAAAATTATCAATCGACTGATCCACCCACCTCCTTCCCAAAACCCAACCGATAGTGTTTTTAAAAGCATTGATTGACCAGCAAACACTCACTTCCCTAAACCCAACCGACAGTGTTTTCCAAAGTAATCCCGAAAAAGAAAAGCCCTCGCGGTCGCCTGATTTTTACCACAGTTTCCTATTTTACCTCATTCTTACTCTGTTATTTATTTGTTTATTTTATTTTTTGGCTTTTGTTTTTGTTTTACCTTCTTTCTGGAATCATTCTTTGTCAGACTTGAACCATGTCGTCGTGGTCAACTCTGCTTTACGTCACAAGTCCACAGACGTACGCGGCAAGCCACAGGCAAAACTAGTAAAAGCCATCCATACAGAGGAAAGCGGTCAGCCGGTAAGCGCGAAAAGGAACAGCATCATACCGCCCCATAGCATTCATTTTAAAGACTAAATGCAGCCATACATTCATCTGGCTACATAATTCACAATCTCCAGAAATGTATATAGGGCTAAGTTTTTAGAATGAACCTATGTTGGTTTACTGTGTTTAATTTTTGTCGCAAGCAATTTTTTATATAGAAAAAAGGCCCACAGAGGCTTCTCCTCCAGCAATAAAAAATTTTAATATTTGGTGCTAGTTCATCAGAAAGTGGCAAATTTGTGGTCTAAACACATTGGATGTAAACGCTGTAATATTCGTCAATGTTTTATGCAATATTTTAGTTTGAGGATTTCAGAATGAGTTTCATTTGTATCTTTGGATGGAAACATAGCTTGTGACCTTAATAAGTAAGTATAAGTAAATAAATGAATGCCTTTTACCGGATTTGGCTGTAGATTGTACCTCCAAGTGGCTACAAAGACCCAGGAAGCATCGAAGTTTGCTGGAAAGAAATTTCGGTTTATATCCTGAGTGGCGCGGTCGAGCACACTTCCACTTGTGTACTCCTGATATGAGTAAAAGCCATTGTAATATTCATCATAGTCATTAAATATTCCAGAAATTAAATCATCTGTTCCTCCAAAGGGATTAGAGTCAGGTGTTAATGCTGGCGACAATGTGAATGTTAGTAGTCCATTATAAAAAACCTGTAATACAAGAAATCAGTTTACGTTTAGCCATTATTAAAACTAGCTAATCACTGCATTTGCATTCACACTCTGACTTGCAACGGAACTGAATTCTTACATTTAAGCTGTTGTACGTGTGGCCAAAGAAGGTAAATGGGGCTGAAAGGGCAACAGGATATGAGCTGTCATAGCCAGGATGTTCAGTGTCTCCTACAGCCGAGCCGAATGGATAGAATATCGCCGGAGCTGCCAGAAAGCACAATGATGATTAATGAAGATGTGTGCAATTTAAGTCAGAATCTAATTAGTATGCTGAATTACAACTAAGTCAAAAAGCCAATTTAATACCTGCATATGCGTTGAAGGCCCAGCGACCGGGAACGCCTACATTAGTTGTGCTCTTGAGGTTTTGGTAGTTGGTAATTGAATCAGGAATCACAAACTTGTATGTGGACTTTATTGTGTCGTATCCAGCCTATAAATCCAAATGCTATTAATACACACAGAGCTGATGCAGAAAATATATGACTGTATTTTACATTCTGTGACGTCTTTACCTCTGTTCCGTCAAATAACACAGCACAGTCACCATAATTGAACAGAAAAAAGGTGCCACCACTGCCTGAAATTAAAACTGCTTGAAACAGGATTTGCTAAAACAAGAGAAGAAAAAACATCATGATTCACAGCCTATATGGTCTGTGCCATAGATTTATTTATTTATTTTTAAATAAACAACTTTTACCGGGTTTGGCTGAGAGGCATAATTCCAAGTGACAACAAAGACCCAAGAAGCTTGGAAGTTTGTTGTAGAGAAATGCTGGTTTACATCCTGACTAGCACGGACGAGCATATTTAAATCTGTGTACTGCTGAAATGAAATCATCCCAAGGTAATAGTCATCATAGTCATTCCAGAGCGGAGCAATGAAATCATCAGTTCCTATGAAGGGGTTAGCGTCAGGCATTATCTCTGGAGATAGCGTGAATGCAAGGAGTCCATTATAAAGAACCTGTAATATGAGAACATAACTTATATCTTGCAATAACCACAATCTGGCTCATCACTGCATTTGCGTTCAGCTTTTAGATAGGCAATGGAACTGAATTCTTACGTATAAGCTGTTGTATGTGCGGCCAAAGAATGAAAATGGAGTCGAAAGAGTAACAAGATATTGGTTTATATCGTAATTAACGTTTAGTTCAGTGTCTCCTACAGCTGAGCCGAATGGATAAAATATTGCAGGAGCTGCAGAGAAGACAAGGACACAAGTCGCAACAATCGTGTAATTATTCTAATTATGAATGCAGTGTTAATTTGAAAGTCAGTAAATACCTGTCCATGGCTGTGCAGAGGTTGTTGCAACAACTGTTAAATAGAAAACATCAATAGATAAAATACTACTGTGAGATACACACAAGCATTGCACTCAATTCATTGGATGTTTTTTACAGTAACTTTCAACCGAAACAAACAAGCTTAAGACGTTTAATTGATCAAGAAACTGATTAAAAAAGGTTTATTATTGTAATATTATGGCATGAAGGAAAGATATGTGGGCGAATGGCTCCACGTACAGTTAAACATAAATAGTAGTCGTGTAACGGATCACAAATGTCACACATTGGATCTCATTATGGTTTTTCAGTTACGGATCAGACCATTTTTCGGATCAGCCAAAAAGGGGAGGAGGTAAATGTAATTTGCTTTCCATTTATTACAAAAACAGCACCGCAAGACACTTTGGTTTTAACAAACAGAACTTAGAACCTATAATTTTATAAAAAAATAAAATGAAAAAATAATCAGCTGAATAAAATTCACTGTTACTACTATGTTGCTGATAACGCTAAATGTATCAATCTAACATTATACTTTTGTACAACCCATTTTTATTTTTAGTCTCATTTTCAAAAAATGATGCAGTTATTCACTTATAAAACTTCATGTTTCATTGCTGAGCATTTTTAAAGAACTATTCAGTGGCATATTTTTGACGGCCACCTATTGGTTAAATAATGTAATTGCTGCCTACAACTTTGAGCACGATGGTGATTTTAATCTTTACCATAAACAACAGTGGTTTTATCTAAACTATAAACTGTTCTCCCATTACTTCTGTGTTATTTGAATGTTTGTACTTCATAACTAATTCAAAAGACTAAAAACTGAATCTCTTTCTTGATTTTTGCAATTTTCAAACAGAGATTTGAATTCAGCGATTCAAAGTATTAGTAAACATATGCAAATCACTATCGTTTATAATTTATGTTGTGTGGGTGTTGAGATCCTGATCTTTTAATGATTAATCATGGAGCTCACACTAAATGCATTAATGCAGGCTAAACAAGTAGTGACAGAAAACACCTTTAATAACGCAAGAAACCCACCACATCTCGAATAACCTATAACAACTTCTTCATCATTATATTTTACAGGAAAGCCTAAAGGCTTTTACACATATGATATACAGTTGAAGTCAAAATTATTATCCTCTCTGAATTATTAGCCCCCCTGTTTATTTTTTCCCCAATTTCTGTTTAATGGAGAGAAGATTTTTTTAAACACATTTCTAAGCATAATAGTTTTAATAACCCATTTCTGATAACTGATTTATGTTTATCTTTGCCATGATGACAGTAAATAATATTTGAGCTTATATTTTTCAAGACACTTCTATACAGCTTAAAGTGACATTTAAAGGCTTAACTAGGTTAATTAGGTTAACTAGGCAGGTTAGGGTAATTAGGCAAGTTTTTGTTTAAAGATGGTTTGTTCTGAAGACTATCGGAAAAAAAAAATAGCCTAAAAGGGCAAATAATTTTGACCTTTAAATGGTGTTAAAACTGCTTTTATTCTAGCCAAAATAAAACTTATAAGATTTTTTTCCAGAAAAAAAAAATTATCAGAAATGCTGTGAAAATTACCTTGCCCTGTTAAACATAATTTGGGAAATATTAAAAAAGAAAAGAAAATATCAAAGGGGGCTATAATAATTTTGACTTCAACTGTAAATGATGCAAGAGGTGATCTCTCTGCCATCGTAACAAATTTAGGATTAATCTATGAGTAGAAAAATGTATTATTCTGCAGGTCATGTGTGTTCCAAACCATTGGTTATGATCCATATGAATCATGGATCAACTGTGATCTGTTACACCCCTAATGAAAAGCCAACACAACCAATGACCGACAAACAATGGCAGAAACACGGAGACTTATATACAGGGAGAACAATTGGCTAAGAAGAAAACAAGGGGCAGGAGAACAAATGTGGAGCCGGTGCAACAGAAAACCAGAAAAAATAAACCAGATAAGACAGTTCTGTGAAGTACACAAACATAGCACAGGTGTAGTTCATAACTCTTCTCTTTTCACCCTGATGATCCCTCAGTTACGGCTCGCATGTCAGCCTGCCTGTCAGACATTTCACACTGGATGAGAAATCATCATCTTCAGCTTAACCTCACAAAAACGGAAATGCTTGAAGTTTCTGCCAACCCGACTCTACATCATAACTTTTCAATCCAGATGGACTGGGCAACCATTACTGCATCCAAAATGGTGAAAAGCCTTGGAGTAATGATTGATGACCAACTAAATTTCTCCGACCACATTTCTAGAACTGCTCGATCTTGTAGATTCGCACTCTATAACATCAGAAAGATCTGACCCTTCTTATCTGAACATGCAGCTCAACTCCTTGTTCAAGCTCTTGTTCTCTCCAAACTGGACTATTGCAACTCTCTACTAGCCGGGCTCCCAGCTAACTCTATCAAACTTCTTCAGCTGCTTCAGAACGCAGCAGGAGTGGTCTTTAATAACCCTAAAAGAGCACATGTCACTCCGCTGCTCCCCCGTTTGCACTGGCTGCCAGTTGCTGCTCGCATCAAATTCAAAGCTCTGATGTTTGCTGACAAAGCGATTTCTGGCTGCTCTCCTTCTTATCTGCTCTCACTTCTGCAGATTTATAGGCCCTCCAGAAACTTGTGTTCTGTGAATGAACGTCGCCTCGTGGTTCCATCCCAAAGAGGGAAGAAATCACTTTCCTAAACTCTCGCATTCAATCTGCCCAGTTGGTGGAATGAACTTCCTAACTGCATCAGAACGGCAGAGTCACTCGCTGTCTTCAAGAAACGACTAAAAACTCAACTATTCAGTCTCCACCTTTCTTCCTAATCTGCAATTGCCTCTCTGGCTCCTCCACTAACTACAAAAAAAAAAATAAAAAATAATAATAATAAAAAAAAAACTAATGTTTTGCTTCTTAAACTTCCTTTACATACCTGAAACGTCCCTACAGCACTCATTCATTGTTGCTCTTATAGTTGTGTAAATTGCTTCCTTGTCCTCATTTGTAAGTCGATTTGGATAAAAGCGTCTGCTAAATGACTAAATGTAAATGTACAGTAACTGCATTATTACCTGGTGGAACTGTGGTGGTTGGCAATGGGGTGTTTTCTGAAAAAAAAAAATGAAAACAGCAATTAATAATTCTTGAGAGAACTTAACGAGTGCAGGTTTTATTCTGCAAATTCACCTAAAAATAAAGAAGCAGCAACATCAAAACCATGAAAACAATAAAGATAAACTAGTTTTATTATTGTAATGTTAGGGCATGAAGTAAAGATGCAGTTAAATATGTAATAAATATTGACAAAAGAGAAACAGAGAGGGTCCAGCACAAGAACAAGAATACAGAAACATGAACGGCTAACAAAATTAATCACCGACTAACAATGGCAGAAACATTGGGACTTATATACAGGGAGAACAACAGGCTAAGAAGAAAACAAGGCACCAGATAACAGGTGGAGCCAGCGAGACAGAAAACCAGAAAATAAACCGGATAAAACACTTCTGTGAAGTACACAAAAACATAGCACAGGTGTCATACAGAAATCACAGCGTTATTACCTGTTGGAACTGTGGTGGTTGGCAATAGGGTGCTGTCTGAAATAAAGACCAAAAATAAAAACAGCAATTGGTAATTCTTAAGAAATGGGGATGGGGGTGCGCGCAAACTGAAGACCGGGTGGGGAAGGTATGGGTGAACTGAAGAGCAGGAAGCGGATATGAAGATGGTTGCGTGTTGGGTTCGGTGCACATGGGGACTGAACCAAATAGCTAGCCAGACTGTACCAAAAAGCAGTTTGGGGGTGGGGTGGGGGGGCCTTGTGGAATTCCAGGAGTTTTTCGGAAGACTGAACAAAACGCGAAATGTAGAGCTGGGCTCATCAATCTTGGTCCTGGAGGGTCAGTGTCCCTGCAGGGTTTAGCTTCAACTTGCTTCAACACACCTGCCTGTGTGTTTCAAGTATACCTAGTAACACTTTGATTAGCTTGTTCAGGTGTGTTTGATTAGGGTTGGAGCTAAAATCTGCAGGACACCGGCCCTCCAGGAACAAGTTTGGTGACCCCTGATGTAGAGACAGAAATGACATGTCATTGTATAAATAAGATAATACATACGGCTATGTAGCTCGTTTAATAAAATGTTGTGATCTGGCGCTATATAGAAAATACAATTAACTTGACTTCAAGGAGGGCGGGGAAAGCTGTTGGGAGGGCGGGGCGCCCCCTAATATAATGGTAGGGGAAACATTGGGGACTTATATACAGGGAGAACAATGGGCTAACAAGGGACTAGAAAACAAAGGTGGAGCCAGCAGTGGCAAGACAGCAATCCATACAAGAAACCAGATAAAAAAATAAAAAAAATCTTCTGTGAAGTATACAAAAACATAGCACAGGTGTCATACAGAAATCACTGCATTATTACCTGGTGGAACTGTGCTGGTTGGCAATGGGGTGTATTCTGAAATATTGAACAAAAATGAAAACAGCAATTAGTAATTCATTAAACTTACTTTATGCATTTTTATTTCCAATAACTTTTCACCAAAATTAATAAGCCTAGACATTAAAATGATCAAGAAATGTATTATCTTTGGTGGGTAAAAGCCCTTCGTTGAGTTTTTGAACACAATGGACTATTGGAGGTTTTAGGCATTCAAATGGAACATGCTAAATTCACTGCAAAAAATGCTTTTCTTGCTTAGATTTTTTGACTTGTTTCTAGTCTAAATATCTAAAATTTCTTATATCAAGAAGCATTTTCAAAACAGGCAAAACATATTATCTTGTTTTGAAAAATAATATGCCAAAATTAAGTGAGTTTTTCCTTAAAACAAGCAAAATAATCTGCCAATGGGGTAAGCAAATTAATCTTGTTTTTTCTTTTAACGTAAGGTTATTTTGCTTACCACATTGGCAGATTATTTTGCTTGTTTTAAGGAAAAACTCACTTAATATTGGCATATTGTTTCTCAAAACAAGACAATATGTTTTGCTTGTTTAGAAAACTCTTCTTGATTTAGGAATTTTTAGATATTTGCACTAGAAACAAGACAAAAAATCTAAGTAAAAGCATTTTTTTTGCAGTGAAAGCATGAACGCGAATATTGTTAAATACCCCACATGAACAAAAATGTTCGCTATTCCCCTAAAAACAGAACATTTGAATAGAAAAAACCCTTGTTCCTATTAAGAAAGAAAGAAGAAGCCAGTTCCCTTGTCAAGCTTCTATAATTTGCTACTCGTACATTCACTTCATGACTGCAGTATTTTTTTTCTCCTATATGTTACTACAGAAACAAACAAGCATGGGTATCGAATTGAATTAATTATGATATAAACATAATATATCTTTATTATCATTGATAGATATGTGCCCTTCAGGTCAGTCCAGACCATCAGATGTCTTAGTCGTGAAAATGGGACTATACTAAATGAAGACCTGCTGAGTCAATGCTGGTCATTTCTGAAAGTATGAACACAGTGGTGTAACTGCAAACAGCCTGTATTTATATTATTTGTGTCACTGCCCACATTGCAAGCAGCCCCTAGTGACGAAGTGACTATATTAATGGAAATAGAAATATGTATAATAGAATATAACTACTGCCCTTGGACTTTTCACAGCAGTGAATAAATACATAGATTTGCATACAGTAGACCGCTTGTGCACTTTTATGGACTAATGGTAGACCTTTTGTCAAGAATTTCTGCAGGTTCAGGATTCTTGAGTGTTTATATCTGTACAGACACTAATAAATATCCATGATTGGACATTTCGTTCTTGTTTTGGTTTGACAGTTGGTTTTCTACCGTCCTTGTCATGTCCTTGTCATTTATAAGGTTTGTGCAGAACATGCACTTGTCTCTAATTAATCTTTCAGGTCTGTTATGATGCATGCCTTCATCTGTCTCTGTCAAGGTTTTGTCATGTCATGCTCTCGCTCTCACGCTCACTCTTTCTCTCTTTCTCACTTGCTCTTACAGTCTCTCTCTTGCTTCTGCCGTATTTTTCTAACGATCAAGTAGTTAATTACAATTCAAATGCAGTACCTACTGAGTAGTAGGCAATTTCGAGAGAGGGGTCTGGCTGCAGACTCGGTGCAGATGCAATCTGAGCTGCATCCAATGCTTTATAATGTCGATGCTGTTTTTCAGTCTTCATAAAGCACATAAACACTGTTATTTTCTTCATAAAATCCATGTTAGCCATTTAGCTACGAAGCTAGAGTCACCAAGCAGACCCTGCCCATCATGCGAATCCGCGTCTGTTCTGAAGTGAATTTGATGCACGAATGAAGCGTATTTTTCAAATATTCACGCGGCAATTTACGTGCAAATAGCGCAATTTATCCGCACGTTCCGCATCTGTTGTGAACACAGCAAGACACATCATTTTACAGAAGGACTTATTTTAAACAATCAAATGAAGCCGAGTTAAAATATTATTATATCCTGGTATTTGCATGTGCTTTCAGGTTTAACGTTAGCAACATTTACTACAAAGGGCCGTAGTTCACAGAATGATTATTGGATTATCGATGCGTCATTTTGCATTTGGCAGAGCACTTTGTGTAATAAATTCTGCTCCAGCTGAACACGCATGTTGGAGATTCACCGCTGATTACACAATCGGCTTTATAGACAATCACATACAAACTGTTCCACCTGCAGTTGAAATGTATTAAATATTGACACAAAAGAAACACAGAGAGTCCAGGACAGGAACGGTAAACCTCTAGAACAGTCAAATAATTTGTATTGTATTGTATTTAATACCTGATGGATATGTGGTGGTTGTCATTGTGGTGGTTGCTGAAAGAATAATAAAACACATTGTGAGTCACTGTGTCAACTCGGTGAAAAGTTTACTGTAAAGTAACACTACAACATGTTTCCTAGTCTTTTTTTTTCCCGTGTTTTGACCCTAGCCTTGTTAGCCCTGTTGTCTTAGTCTGCCGCCAATTCTGACAACTCGCCTGATCCTTTGACTACGATTCTGGACTTCCCTTGTATGTCTGTTTGCACCTATATTGACCATTGCTTGCCTGACCACTGATTAAACCTGCACGTGGATCCTACCTCTGTTGTTTGTGTCACTCCTCGGGTTACACTAGTAAAACTCTTTGGATGTTTTTTCTGTAATGTACTTTATTGTAGCACACTAAAAATTTATTTAAGTAGGTATTTAGTATACTTTTGTCAAGTGTACTACAGTCCTACTGAAGTATAAACATACTTTTAATTAGTATATTTATAGTGTAAAACCATCAAACTTTTATTTAACACAAAAAATAACAATGTACTAAAAATCTATTTGCGGGTATTTAAGTGTATTTTAATTGCATGTAATTATATATTTTTTTCACCTGGGTTAACACATTAGCTTCAACTGTTTTAGTGTTTCATAAAGCCTCGTTTCATAAAGCCTCATATTTACAGCAAGCAGTAAATTATTTGGTTGCATCAGAAAACAAATGCTGAAGGGCACACAGTAAAAAATGGGACAAGCTAAAGCAATACCTGCTAAGTCAGGGGTGGTAGTTTCTGAAAACATAAACACAAATACTATTAGTTCCCATGTACTCATTTAACATATGTTAACATATTAATGTTAAAAAAGCATGTATTAAAAACACATTCGTTTATGAATTATATTTGAATGACTAGGAACAAATTAGTCATCATTAAAACAGACGTTGCGATTTTATTATTATTTTTAAGTGAAACAAATGTAGGGCGGGGCTTGATTTTATCTATTGGGAATTGACAGGCTTCCCCATCCTGTCGCCAGTAAACAAATCATTGGAAAATTAAATATGGATGGAAGGAAAGTCATACTGATTTCAGGAGCAGAATATATTTTTCAAAGAATGATGTGCTCAGATAAATCACATACTAAACATTGCAGTATTGCCAAAAAACAAACAAACAAAAAACTAAACAAATCGATAGTATTTCATGACTTCTCGCTATCTTACTGAGGTGGCATGAAAGACAAATTCCTCATCAGGAAAAACCAGAGAATCCAGTAATGATGTGTGATAAAAGATTGAAGAACTGCACAAATCAGGATTGAGCTTAAGAGAATAGTTTACCAGTCAAAGTGCTTATATAAAGCAGTTTATTGTTTAACTGTAGATTTTTACACTTATTACACGGTAAGTGAAGATGATGGTTTTTAAAAGAAAGAAGAGATTGTGAGGATTTGTGATCTGTTACCTGGCAATGTTGTTTGAAAAGGAGTTGGTTGTTGGTTGGCTGTTCAAGAGAAACAGATGACATTACATTTTGAAGCGTATACATGTGTTTGTTTTCATTGTATTTGCTACATAATCAAAGAGATCCTCTAAAGAAAGACATACTCAGTGGCAGGACTGATATAAACAGCAGCAAATGCTGTAAAACCAGAGATAACTTCATGTTGATGAAGTCAGAGATGATAACAGCACATGTAGAAGTCCTTTTGCTGTAAACAGAGAGAGAGCTGTATTACTTTTTTTTTTTTTTTTACCTCCAAAGGGCTTAGTGGCCACATGTGGACAGCACATTTTAGCTCTTATGTTTTATATTTTGTTTCAGCCATACAGTGTTATCCTGCAACTGTTTTGCGGCATATGAAATGTTCCAAACACTATTTTAACTGTCCAAAATAAGCAAAAAATGTGTTTACTGATAGTCAAAACATGTTTAAAAAGTATGTATGTATGTGTTATTAATGGAAAAACTGCTGTGTTCAAGGCAGAAATATAGAGTTTTTCATTCTATTACACAAAGGGGACTTTATTGTGTTTTATGGGAATTCGGACCATGAGTCCACATAAATGGACATCATTTTTTTCTAAAAGTACATCATATCAAAAGTTAATACTTAGGTTTTATCCTAATTAGGTTCCAATAAGCCCAAATAGCAAAGAGAAATAAAAAATGCATGTAAAAAAACAGCTTGGGCCTTAAGAGGTTAACAGCAACAACAACTGTATTTATAATTGTATAATGTAACCAACCATTATATATACTTTTAAAAAGTTGAGAGAATGAAATCATACTTTTCCAACTCTGAAGTTCCACTTTGTTTTAGTTTTAACTGTTGTATAGTTTTTATTTCTTTTGGTTTGGCTGCAATAAAATCATTTTTTTTAAATGTTAACTTTTTTTTTAATTATTTATTTTTAAGAAATCACTGTTGTCCTATAACTTGCCTAATTATCCCAACTTGCCTAGTTAACATAATATCATCAAGTCTTCAAATTTCAGCTGACTACTAGTATTTTGCAAAATAAGTAGAACAATATTACGAGCTGTCATCATGGCAAAAACATTTTTTAATAGTTTTAACTTATATTTATTTATAAAAATTATTATGTTTAAAAATGTGTTGTCTCAAAAATATTGTCTCAGTTAAGCAACACTTAAAAATATATTAAAAAGAAATAAAATTTGATGAATTAACTTGTTCCCCAGTGTAATCAGTTAGCAAATACAGTGCACTTTTTTGTTTCTACTGATTGATATATCAGCTATATACTGATATGGAATATATATATATATATATATATATATATATATATATATTCTGTTTAACAGAGATTTTTCCAACACGTTTCTAAACATAATAATTTTAATAACTCATCTGCATTAACTGATTTATTTTATCTTTGCCATGATGACAGTAAAAAAATATTTGACTAGATACTTTTCAAGACACTTCTATACAGCTTAAAGTAACATTTAATGACTTAACTAGGTTAATTAGGTGAACTAGGTAGGTTATGGTAATTAGGCAAGTTATTGTATAATGATGGTTTGTTCTGTAAAAATTTTGACCTTAAAACGGTTTTAAAAAAACTAAAAACTACTTTTATTGTAGCCGAAATAAAACAAATTATAATAATTCTGACTTCAACTGTGTGTGTGTATGTATGTATGTATGTATGTATATATATATATATATATATATATATATATATATATATATATATATATATATATATATATATATATATATATATATGTATACACACACAGTAGAAATAAGCACAAGTAATGATAATGTTTTACCCACCTCTGACAGCTTCATCCAACAGGCTCACCTACAGTGGTGTAGCAGGAAGTATGTTTGGTTTATATACTGTACGCCCCAGCGCCGGGGTTGCATCTAAAATGTAAGAAAATATGTCACTTTCATTGGAACAGCGCCAATAGCTCTAACAGAAAATCTGAAGCAAAAGTCTTTCCCTACAGACATCACATGACTTTTAGATGAATTACAATATAAAGTAAATATGTGAACAGTGTTCTTGTGCTGCAGTTTCTAGCTAAAGTGACAGCTGATTTATTGCACACTTCAAATAGATTATTTCTGTTTCTACAAAAAAGGCTAAATCTAATTTTATCCAGTTGATCGGGTGGTACTAAAGTCTGTCAGAGCAGCAAGGCAAATAGTTTTATTTACTTCTGATATCACAAATCCTAGAGCTGATATTTCTGTAAGCACTGAATTGTTGTTGACAGAAGGCAGCACTTGTGCTTTCTAGAGAAAGACTTGCTCATGACTTGGTGTTTTTAGTTTTTTTTTTTATCGATTGTGATCTACATTCTGTACTTTCATGAATCGGCCTGTCAGCTATTCTGATTTTCCAGTTTTCAGTTCTTGGAGGAACATTACATTCCAGTGATGGGAAACAACAAGGTGCATTCCAGTAAATGTGAGTATAAAAACCCTGATACTGTTCAAGATCTACAACCATTTTCAAACCATTATCTGTTTTTATATCGCCATTGCAGATAATGTTAATGCAGAAATCACAAGTGCATTGATACCACTCTCTGCAATGTAAGCTTACCTTATTGTTTCCCATGACTGCAATGTTATGTTGTGTCAAAGACTGAAAGCAGGTCTTTCCTTAGAAAGCACAAAAGTTACTTGGTGTCAACGACAATTCAGTGCTTACAGGAATACTTATCAGAGCTAAATAAAATAATAATCATCCTTACTGTTCTGACAGACTTTAGTGTCTCCAGATCAACTTGATGAAATTTGATTTAGCCTTTTTTAATGATACAGAAAGAGTCTGTTCGATGTGAGCAATCATTACACTGTCACTTCAGCTGAAATGGGAAAACAATGACATAATGGTGTCACTAAAAGTAAACCTGCAGCACATCTCTTTTTATACTGTACTTGATTACGAGCAGCTTTAGTTTTATTGTATGAAGTTCATTGTATTAATTAATTTGTATTTTGTTTTAGTTTGGCTGGATAAAGCAGTTCATTTTATAAGGTCAATTTTAAAGTCAATATTATTAGCCCCCACCCCAAGAAGCTTTTTTCTTTTCAGATTATCTACAGAACAAACCAATGTTATAATGTCTTGCCTAGTTAACATACAGTTGAAGTCAGAATTATTATGTATATATTCTCCCCAATTTCTGTTTAACAGAGACCTTTTAACACATTTTTGAATACAATAACTAATTTCTAATAAATGGTTTCTGTTCTGACAGACTTTAGTGTCACCAGATCAACTTGATAACATTTGATTTAGCCTTTTTTGAAGATACAGAAAGAGTCTGTTTGACGTGAGCAATCATTACGCTGTCACTTCAGCTGAAAGGGGAAAACAATGACATAATGGTGTCACTAAAAGTAAACCTGCAGCACATTAACAGTCTCTTTTCATACTGTACTTGATTACAAAAAAGCAGCTTTAATTCCATTGTATGAAGTTCATTGCATTAATTAAGTTTTATTTTGTTTTAGTTTGGCTGGATTAAAAGCAGTTCATTTTTTAAGGTCAATTTTAAAGTCAATATTATTAGCCCCCACCCCAAGAAGCTTTTTTCTTTTCAGATTATCTACAGAACAAACCAATGTTATAATGTCTTGCCTAGTTAACATACAGTTGAAGTCAGAATTATTATGTATATCTTCTCCCCAATTTCTGTTTAACAGAGACCTTTTAACACATTTCTGAACACAATAACTAATTTCTAATAAATGGTTTCTGTTCTGACAGACTTTAGTGTCACCAGATCAACTTGATAACATTTGATTTAGCCTTTTTTGAAGATACAGAAAGAGTCTGTTTGACGAGCAATCATTACGCTGTCACTTCAGCTGAAACGGGAAAACAATGACATAATGGTGTCACTAAAAGTAAACCTGCAGCACATTAACAGTCTCTTTGTATACTGTACTTGATTACGAGCAGCTTTAATTTCATTGTATGAAATTCATTGTATTAATTAAGTTTTATTTTGTTTTAGTTTGGCTGGAATAAAAGCAGTTAATTTTCATAGTCAGTTTTAAGTCAATATTATTAGCCTATTATTAATGACTAATTTCTAATAAATAATTTCTGGTCTGACAGACTTTAGTGTCACCAGATCAACTTGATAACATTTGATTTTGCCTTTTTTGATGATACAGAAATAATCTGACATGAGCAATCATTACGCTGTGCCTTGAGCTAAAATGGAAATAGTAGTACTTGATTACAAAAAAAGTAGCTCAAAGTTCATTGTATTAATTTATTTGTAATCCATATACATATACTATTAGTGTACTTGTAAGTGCTCTACTTGAATACTGTTTTGGACTAAATTGTCCAATTTTTAGTATATAAAAATGTACTTGTAAGTGAACTATAAGTAGATTGAGTTTTACATTTGTACTACAACTGAATAGAAATACTAAAAGTTGACTTTTGTAATTAGTTGGTGAAGGAAATAAATGCTTATGTCTTTTACTCAGGGCTCTGCATTTAACCCAGCCAACTGCACACACAGAAGTGAAAACCTTGTATAGTGACATTCCTCTGTATACACATTTCTGTTTTACTGGCAATGGCATTTCATGTTTTAAAGGGCACGCCAGGTGTTAAGACACATGGCTTAATACAACACAAATAATTCCACTTACTGAAATATGCAGAATACGGAAGCATGTAAGTAGCAAAACCAAAGGCATTCTGAACTGTAAAATGGCAATGCATTTCTGTAATTAAACTTGCATCTTGTACGGTATACAGTATATTATGTGTACAGTTTGCTGCAAAATGAAAAAAAAAATTGGTAAATAATAAATAGACCTTTGGCATTTCCATCCACAGTTTTAAAATGTAAAAGACAAAGTGTTTAAAATCTGTAAAAAAAAAACTGAAAACAAATTGATTGATGTGCGCAACATGAACAAGCAGAAATGGTTGCAAATTGAAGTTTATTTATAAACTAAATTCAAGAGGATCACGTGCTTATGATTGACCACGGCTGGTCCCGCGATAGCTAACATATGCTTTACCAATCAAACGATTCCTACGTCTCCAGAAATAATCAAAGCTTCATACAACAGTCGTCTTTGTTTTGAAGAATCCCCCTTCCACTACTACTCCTCCTCCTTTCCTAGATTGGGTTTCACGGCAGCCCACTGTTGCCTCACAGCAAGAACGTCACTGGTTCTAGTCCTTACCAAGCCAGTCGTTCTCCTCGTGCTCTTGTGGGTTTCCCCCTCTCCCCCGGTTTCCTCCCACCATCCAAAAACATTTGACTTGAGTTAATTGACTAATCCAAATTGGCACCATAGATGTGCTCCTAGTGTAGGACTTTCCAGAATGTGTCACTATTGTTTATATGTGTTTATTTTTAGAGATAGATGTTATTATGTTTCAGAGTATTTGAAGAACAAATATAGTTTTGTATATTTGAATAGCACATTGGCACATTTATGTTGTATTTTCATAAATATCATAGTTCTGATAGATTATGGAGATGTGTATTACCGTTTCTAGCCGATAGGTTGTGTCTGTGTATAAATTAAGACGCAAGTTTCATTTTCATTCCCTCTCAGTCAGTTATTGTTCGGGGCCGGTATACGCTTGCCGGTTTATAACCTAGCTAGCTGCCAGATACTAGTTACTAGCTACTAACAACTGTCATTAAACAAGGAAGGACGTCGAAGTTTGACAGATAAGTGTAACGTTGGTACGGCTGTCTACTTTGTGGATGAACATTGTGTTTGTGTACAGTGTACGCAATAAAAGTTCAGCAGTGACTCGAGTTGTATCCATCGTACTTGCCCTGAAACCATTCCAGTGGGGCGTTTATTGAGGTAAAGTGAGTAACCTGATAAAAAACTGGACACCTAGCCAGCAGTTATCTCTTCATAACAATTTCCTAACTGCTCATTAGCTACAAACAGCAGGGAAGTTCATCAAGATCTACCTAAGCTTAAAGGTTCAGGACACCCTGGAGAACTTTTTTTTTTTTTTATATTAACAGATTTGTGTGTGTTGAGCATCAGTTAAGACAATGTTAGCACCTTTCAGCTTTAATTGTGGGGAAAACTGGATAATTTTGAGCTTTTGTCAGCTAATTTCAGCTTCCGGGTTTAAAAGGATTTTTGGGGCGGGATCAAATTTGGCGACGGAGCGCAGTACTGCAAGTGCAATGATGACGCATCGGTTTCTCATTATTATTCATAGCGGAGTTTCCTTATCCTATGTGAAGAGCCGGCTGCTTAATTATTCATGAGAGCACGTGCTTTCCGAAGGCAAGGCAGACCTGCTAGCAAGCTGTGAGACACGGACCCGCGGCCACGGCACACAGTATTTAGCGGTTCATGAAGGCTCGTATGTGTTTGTTTCCATGATCCACGGGGTTTGTTGCATTATTTTTCCCCGGGATCATGTTGGGGCCAATACAGCAAAGCTGTTTGTGTGCTACAAGCATTTTTGTTGGGAGACGAGTACGAGAATTGGAGAATGGTGGACGCTGTCTTTTATCAGGAGTTTGTTCACATTTAGACACATCGCCGTGCTGCTGTGTTTGCCTAAATCCTCCAGATTACCAGCAGGACTAATGGTTAAAATAGTCAAGGCAGGAGACGGCACTGAGTCTCCATTCAGACCTCTGATTCAGAGTCAGACCCGAGGATTGAGGGAAAAGTCCTCATTTATAGTGGTTATAAGAACAGGATTATCTTTATAATGATATAAATTGTGGTTATCTGTATATGAAATTACGAATAACAAATGGAGAAGGGCATTAAATTGCTGTTTGCATTTTAACTTTGTAATAAACTCATGCGTCTCCTCACGGTTTGTGTCTCATTTTGTGAGCCAACTGACAACAGTTCGCTCCTCTCCTTCTCCCCTGCTGGCCACG